AGAGCTAGCATAACGTGTCCCTACAGCTGCAAGTGATTATCTTACTTTGAGGAATTATTCATTTTGCTTTTGATGCAAATACTGGGTAGAAGTTCTGATCATGGAATTTACTTTGTTCAGTCTAGGGCCGAGATTAGGAGATTGCTATTTGAATACTTATCACCTTTTTAAAAGCTTTTATTATTATTTTTTATTTAACAAATTGTGTATTTTGTTGAGAATGAGATAGACAATAACTTGTATTGAACTTGTGCTGTGGGGGGTCTATTCCAATGAAAGCTTCTTTTTATTCTGTATCAAGAACGAAAATATGTTTTCGTTGAATCGCTAAACCAGGATTTTTTTTTTAAAATTAATTGAAATAATTGCAATATGAGTTACCTCTTTTAAGAGAATTATTGATGATTCATATCATAATTAATTTGATTGCTATTAAAAATTATAACTAGTATTGTAATTAAATAGATTAATATTAAAAATAAATAAATTCTATTGTAATTAAACCAATTTTAATTAAAAATTTAATTTGTAAGAGATTCAATTATGACATAAGTTACCGGTAATTTATATAATACTTAATTCGATTACTATTGAAAAAATGTAACTTGTATTATATTTCTCTTAGTCAATATTAAAAATATTAGTTTGTATCATAATTAGATTGATTACTATTAAAAAAGGTAACTTGTATCGAAAATAAACCAATTCAATTTTAATTAAAAACTGTTTAACTTTTTACTATGTTCGATAACAACTATCGTATTTTAATTGATTTTTTAATTATGATACTATTTACCGTTTTTAATATTAATTTTTTAAAATTACAAGAAGAATTTCCATTTTAAAGTAAATTAATTATGATTTAAATTACTGGTAATTTGTATTTTAATAATAATTAATTTGATTATTATTTAAAAATAAAACTAATTGTATCATAGTTATTTTGATTAATATTAACTTTTTCTAGTTTCGCGATTCGTAAGAAACATATTTTTCATTTTTTTAAATATACAATGGTAACAAGCTTTTATCAGAAAACACTCCTCCACCATAATGAAAATAATTTTTTAATGTTTCTTACCGAGACTAGCATAAAATAAACACTTTGTGCATTTTTTTTAAAAAAAAATAAGAGTGAGAGGTTAATAATCATTTTTTTGCGTAAGTATAATTTGTATTGGTAATTTTTGAAAAAAGTAAAAAGAGAAAAAATAGATAGAGAAATACTTATAAAAATAAAGTTGTTCAAACAATCTGTATACCAAAATAATTGTATAATATAGAAATCAAAATTAATCAAAATTTCTTTTTTTAGAGTGTCCAGCTCGAAAATATTTTCATAAAAACCAAATTTTTGAAATGTGGGGGTATAGATAGTAATTTGGACTGCCAATAGCAATAACCACCCCATTAAATGGTCTTCGGAGTTTATTAGACCTTGGCCCACCGAAAATAGTTGAAGCTTTTTTTTTTTTTTTTTGGTCCAACTGTTCAAGCATTTACTTATATATGGCAACACGAGAAAAACATACTCCTTGATGATATAAAAAATCTTACTTAAAAATAACTAAAAATGCTGGTAATACATTTTTAACATATTTTTTAAAAAAAATTATTTTAACCTTTATTATAGTTTAAAATTAATATTTTAGTATGTACATTTCATAGGCTAATTGTTTATTGTATATAATCAAATTTTATAATAATTATATATACAAATTAATAAATATTATATTTGAATATACAAATTATATCTAATTTTTTTTTAAATATGTATTTTAAAATATATAAATTATATTTAAGATAAATTAATAATTTATATTACAGCACAAGATTATTTTTAATTATTGATAATTTATTTAAAAATATATTAATTTTTTAATTCATAAATAAATACCAAGTTATAACTTAAAGTTTTTTAACATACACTCCAGTAGTCCCTGAGTGCAACTTGCACCCCCTCTTAAAAATAATGTGTACATTTGCAAATTTGAGAAATTTATACAATATTTGTAAATTCATATAGAGTTTTTTATTTATTTATTTTATTTTATTTTATTTTTATACATATTTTGATAGATTAGCTCGATAAAATATTATGAAAATAAAACCCAACTGTACATGCATTCATGTTTTGAAGTTATTAAATGAAAAAGATGATGATCATACCAAGTTAATTGGGTTTGTGAGCAAAATGAAGAAGATTTGAAAGAGGCACGAAAGATCAAGTGCACTCAAGACCTTGTTGAGAAGTTTGAAATTCCGAATTTTAATGCATTTACCACTCCTTAGTTAAGTCATAACTTGGCTTCAATGACGTGATTGAAGTGATTTCAATGTACATGGACAGCTTAAATATAGATATACACTTTTAATTAGAGATTCTAATTTGATTTAACTTTTATCTAGGTGAAATTCGGCATGAAGTTCACATTGATGAGATAATTTGATATAGCCGTATGTTTTTTATTTGCAAAAAAAGAAAAATTATGATACCGGAGAATATTATGAAGAGAGATAAAAAATATATATATATATATATATATATATATATATAATTGTTTATATTTGATTTATAAAAAATCATGAGACCGATGAGGCAAATTAAATGAAAAATCAATTTGAAACTACATTTTTGTTATTAAAAAAAAATAATAAAAGAACCTTTTGTCTCAAATATAAAATACTCAAGGTAAACTGCTATTGGCGGTGGATACTCCAGGAACAAACAAAAAAAAAATACTCAAGGTAAAAACATTCACCACTATCATATTGTATTATCACTGTTACCATGTTACTCGTTACTGTCACCTTTTTTTTTAGAAGAATAAAATTATGTCATTTCATTCAAAATAATTGGAACAATACATGAGGGAATAAATTCAAAAGTGTGAGAGCTAGCATAACGTGACGCCCTAGCTAAACAGTGAGCGACCCGATTGACTTGTCTCGAAATGAACTTTAGTGATAAGTTCAGATAATTGTATAACAATCTTCTACACTTGTTAAGAAGAGACCCATATTCCGAGTGGTGTGATTGAGTCCTAGATAGAGCATCAAGGACAGATTTAATTACAATCTGACTCAAGGGTTTCGTGGGTGAGGCTCAAAGTTACTAACCATTGGATGGTTGTAAGTAGAGTTGTAGCTTCAGCCTCCTAAACAGGTGGAAGGCCATGAGCCCAACCAGTTTTGGCTGTGAGAAAATGTCCATGATCATTTCGTATGCACATGCTATACCCAAAGCAGGATGAGTCTTGGAAGAGAGCAGCGTCAATATTGCACGTAAACGTCCCTACTTGGGGTTTTTTCCACTGTAAATCCTGTACAAGAGGGACCCTTTGTGTTGACGATCTTGCTTGTGCCACTTGCCAATCCCGAAAATGTTGCTTTGCTTGTGAGATGGCTACACCTGAAGGTGGGGCGCCCTGATCCCAAACCTTAGCATTTCGACGCCTCCAGATACAATCAAGCGTGACCACGACTTCAACAAATATGGCTTTGAGATATGTTGCCAAGTAAGGAAAAGATGACCTCTACAATTCCTTCACCTACATCTACTAAGGGTTTAACATGTTGCCATATGCCAATTACTTGCCATACGGTCTGTGCTTCTTGACAATCAAAGAAAATGTGCCAGTTGTTTTCTTGTGCAGCTTCACAGTGGGAACAAAGGGAGATTGGCCCCTAGAAAGTCCCCTCGTGGGAAGTATTTAGCTTTGAATACACGAGTAACTATAGCATCTTGGTTGGTCAAGAATTTCCAACCTTGCTTCCCTAACATGGCTAAGTTGAAGCCATAGAGGTTGCAAAAGCCCATGCCTCCGTGTTCTTTCCTCATGGATAATTTTTCCCAGCTAAGTCAATGCATAATTTTATCACTATTGTTGCTCATAAGTCATAACAATCATTATTGATTATTGACCATGATTATTATTATTATTGTCAACCACCTCTTTTCCCTCTCACCACTTTGTATCATACCACTCCAAACTCCAACCATTACTAGTCTCTATTGCCAATGTTGCTACCATGAATGTTGACATTATCACAATTATTATAGCTATTAGTATTGTCATTTTTGTTATTATTATCATTATTATATATAATTGTTATCATTATTATTATATTATCTTATTATCACACTAAATTAGTTGATCAAAATCTATCAAAATAACTAATAATAGAAAATGTATTGCAGAGTTAGTAAATTTAATATTATTTTGTTTATGTTGTTTATTACTCATCAAATAATGTAAAAATTTAAAAATTATCTAACAACCTAAGGATTAATATTTTATTATTCTCTTTTACTATATTTTTTTTCTGGCATATAGAAGATATATTAAAAGATACCAAAACTCATGCAACTATAAAGTGCAATATCTTTATATGTATCAAACAAATCCTAATTCCTAAGCGCAATATGTTTTGTGCACATCTTGAATTGTAGAGATTGAAATGATGGGAGACAAGTGTCAAAATTCCAACGTCAAATATCACTAAAACCCTTCATGATGAAGACACTTCAAAACTAATTTGGCAATTTAAAGGGTATAATATTTGGTGGCAATGGAAAATTTCAGGTCGTCCAACGATTCATCTCCCTTCCTTGCGAATGTCTTTTTGTCAGTCCACCTACTAGCTAATTGCTCTGTCTAACGTGTTCCTGGAACCACCTACTGTCACTTTGCTTAAAAATTTGAAAGATGCCTCCGCTTGACGTACCTTTTTCTGCAAATTAATTTGCAACCTTTATTGCATGTAAGTGTGAAAAATAAAAGAATTGGGACGTTCTTTTTTTACTCTATTAGTTATTAACAGTTGATTTGATGTATTGGTTGTTATGTCACACTATCAATATATCATGCACCGATGATGTTGTGAAACAATACCATGCAGTATATTTTTGAATATTTGACGTTATTATTCACGTTAATAATTAATATGTCATGTATACATGCAGTTAATAAATTATATCAACAGTTAATTTATAATGTCAGATGATTAATTATTAACTTATAATGTTGGATGAATAATTATTAAAGTGACAAAATATACAATTTTTTTAAAAAGTGAATGACAAAATACGTAAATTTAAATAATTAAATGATGTAATTCATGAAATTGTGAAATATGAATGATAAAAATTTCTATGAAGACAAAAAAAAGAGCCACATAATACATCTTTGTATCCAACACTCCATCAATACTATTATATATTTATCTTTATTTTTCTCTTTTTCCTATCATGTATATCAAACACTCTTT